GGTCTCTCTTTCTGCCCCACGTCCCCCACAAACTGGATACAATTTTGTGGTGACCTTGAGGCTTTTTTTCGCCGCCTCCGTCTCCGAGAATATTTCCAAACCACCACTGAACATCAATCTGACCTACCAGATCCCCCCTACCAACACCAAAGGAAAAATAATTCTATATGGACTCCCCCTGACGGTCGGAATTACAATCTGGATTTCTATATACACAGCTTCCGCAACAACGCACAGACTGACATTATTCGCAAACGACAACAAGCGACACACAATCTTAGCCGCGCTGAACACCATGCCATCCAGAGTCTCAAAAACAACCTGGACATTGTAATCAAACCAGCTGACAAAGGGGGTGCTGTGGTCATTATGAATAAGGCCGACTATAACCAGGAGGCAACCAGACAACTCTCGAACACCACATTTTACAAACCTCTCCCCTCTGATCCCACCTTGGACTACCAAAAGAAACTACACTGTCTCCTTAAAAGCCTCCCCACAGCTACTCGGGAACAAATCCTCACAGAATCACCTTCTGACCCCCGACCAGGATTGTTCTATCTACTTCCCAAGATCCATAAACCTGGGCACCCCGGACGTCCCATCATCTCTGGTATTGGCACGCTCACTACTGGTCTATCCAGCTATGTAGACACTCTTCTCAAACCCTTCGTAACCAATACCCCCAGCTATCTCCGAGACACTACTGACTTCCTAAGGAAACTACAAAACATCGATAACCTCCCCAATAATACCATCCTTGCCACCATGGATGTAGAAGCTCTATATACCAACATCCCACATGAAGACGGATTACAAGCAATTAGAAACACTATCCCAGAGGACACTACTGCCAACCTGATAGCAGACCTATGTAACTTTGTTCTCACCCACAATTATTTCCAGTTTGAGAACAACTTATACCTCCAGATCAGCGGCACAGCCATGGGTACACGCATGGCCCCACAGTATGCTAACATCTTTATGGCTGACCTAGAACAACGTTTCCTCAACTCCCGTCCCCTTTCACCCCTCCTCTACCTACGGTACATCGATGACATCTTTATGATCTGGACACATGGCCAAGAAACACTGGAGATATTCCACAGAGATTTCAACAACCTACACCCCACCATCAACCTCAGCCTGGACCATTCTACACGAGAGATCCACTTCCTGGACACCACCGTACAAATCAACAATGGAAAATTAGACACCACTCTCTACAGAAAACCCACTGACTCATACAGTTACCTACATGCATCCAGCTCCCATCCAGAACACACCACACGATCCATCGTCTATAGCCAAGCCCTTCGATACAACCGCATCTGCTCTAACCCCACTGACAGAGACCAGAAGCTTCAGGATCTCTACCAAGCATTTATAAACCTCAACTACCCACCCGGAGAAATAAAAAAGCAAATTGAAAGAGCCAGACGAATACCTAGAAACCATCTACTTCAAGACAGACCCAAGAAAACCAACAATAGAACACCACTTGTCATCACCTACAACCCCCAACTTAAACCTGTCCAACACATTATCAATAAACTACAGCCTATATTGGAACAGGATACCATACTCAAAGAGGCTCTGGGAGACAGACCCATAGTCTCCTATAGACAACCACCTAACCTCAAGATGATTCTTACCAACCACCACAGGACATACCACACTAATACCAACCCTGGTACCTTCCCTTGCAACAAACCCCGTTGCCAGCTTTGTCCACATATTCATTCTGCTGATACCATTATTGGACCTAACCAAGTGAGTTATAAGATCAAGAACACATATTCCTGCGCATCCAGAAATATAATCTATGCTATCATGTGCCGAAAGTGTCCGTCTGCTATGTACATTGGACAAACATCTCAGACACTTCGCCAAAGGATTAATGCCCACAAAACAGATATCAGACAAGATCACAAAGAGAAAACAGTTTCTTGCCACTTTAACCAGAAAGGACACTCTCTAAATGACTTAGCCACCTGCATTCTGCTACAAAGACCTTTTACATCTGCACTTGAAAGGGAATCCTCTGAACTGTCATTCATGTTAAAATTCGACACTTACCACCAGGGACTTAACAAGTCTTTGAACTTTCTCACCCATTATCAAGACAGTTTCCCCAATTATCACCTGTAATACCATTAACTCACAAACATCCCACTCTCCCTACCTCTAATATCATCAATTCACAGACACTTACCTTCCTTCCTCCCCCTTCCCACCCCCCCGCCTCCTCCTTCTGTTCTGCAATGTGATTTGTCCTTTTCATATTTGTTCTTTTTTTTAATTGTATCCTTTGGTATATATGGTTGTGACTACTTTCTTCCACTATTTGATCTGAGGAAGTGGGTCTGGCCCACGAAAGCTCATCATCTAATAAACCATCTTGTTAGTCTTTAAAGTGCTACATTGTCCTGCATTTTGATCCATTCCAGAGGGAGACTTCTCATGCTGTTCCCACCCCCATAGGCCAGACTTTTAGTTTCCAGCCAATAAGAGCTGAGAATTTTTGCTGGGAGCAGGAGCACTGTGGAAAGCCTTCTCCCTCCTATCTAGACCCCTTTCCCTCCCTATCATGTTCAGAGCGGAGCCTTGTGGAGCAGCAAGCAATTTGCAGCAGGCAGTCTGCCTCACATTTCTGCTGGTAAGCGCCTCCCAGCAGCCCCTCCCTTCCCAAACCCTCTGCCCCATACTCCCTCCCAGATTGGGCACCCCCAGTCTCTTGCCCCAGATCTCAATCCCCTCCTACTCTAGGTTACAACCCAAACTCCTGCATACCAGTCCCCTGTCCAAGGTCACAACTACCTCCTACACCTAAACTCCCTCCCAGACCCTATTCTTCCTCCTGTACCCCAGCTTCCTTCTGTACCCAACCTCCATTCCACTCAAATTTTTCACTAACCTCTCTCGTGTGTTCTTTGCATGACTATTTTGAACTCCTTTATATTTTAAAAATTTGTGGTCCACATTTGCTTTAAAAAAAAAAAAAGCACCCATGCCTCAGAATTCTTGCATATGGGCCCGTTGCTGTTTCTTTGCGGGTTAGGTTGCCCATTCCTGAGAGGGGTTGTGTGCATAGGGAGAGAGGAAAGGTGAGAGGGTATATGTGGGGATGGGTAGTGCAGTGAAGGTCATATAGTAATGGATGCAGGGGGATGGGCGGTGTGGGGTTGGGGTGGGGGATGGTGTAGGAATGGGAGAAGTAGGTGGGGGTAGGGATAGGCAGTGTGGAGTGGGGAGGCATTAGGGAGAATTGTGGGTGTAGGAATGGAGGCAAAGGAATGGAGGACAGAGGTGGGGGGTAGGGATGGAAGGAAGGGGGTGGGCTGTGGGCCATGGAGTTCTGGGATAAGAGCTAATGGCCTAGGTTGCTCCATCGGGTTTTCTTCCCATGTGACCCAAACCTGATTCTCAATAGGGTGTGGGCTTGTAAAGCTGGGGGCTGCCCCATGGTTCTATGTCTTTCCATTGTGCCCTCTCGGCATAGAGCATGTCCCAGCCTCATGGTGTGAGCTCATTTGCCAGCTAGAAGGGCATATTTGGAGCACTACCGCCCTGCAAAGACGGATAGTAACTGGGCATGAAGAGTGGGGAATTCTCTCCCTACCTGACTGCTCGTATGTAACCCAGCCCCGGCACCTCACTAGCAAGCCAGGTGCCCAGGAGCACCCGGGGGAAAAAAGGGATTCATGTGGAGTTTGGGTCCCATTTTACTGATTGTGTTGGGTTTTTGTTTACATGTGAGGCCCACAAGCCTGCAGAGCATAGCCCTTCCTGATGGGTCACTTCTCTGTAGCTCTGTGCTAGCTGCCAGGAGAGTCTCCGAACTCTGCACTATTTTATTGGTGGGTGGGGCAGGAGTATGAAGGGTGTGGGCAGGAGGGGAGCAGAGAAGGGTGCGGAGAAGCCCCCTAGTGTTTATGTATATATATAAAATCCTTGTTCTTCTTTTAGTTTAAAGTGTAAAGATATCTGATTCTAGGTTCTTCTAGAGCGAATCTTGCCCCAATCCTGCCTCTGGCTTGTCCAGCAAAATTTGGTGACTGCAAAGAGAAGCTGCACTCTTTGAAAGAGTAGTGTTGCACCCTCCTATCTTTAGGCTCAGTGCCTCCCAGAATTCCCAGAGGCGTGTTATACCTGTGCACTGCCTCCTACTACAGCTGAGTCTTAAATTGAGATGTGACATGACAAGGGAAAGGTAGCACTAATGTGTGGTGAATACAGAGAGAGGTTACTGTTAATGCGCGCACAAATTTTAAAAAGTGAGGTGAGAAATAGTTTGAGATACAGATTTCAGCCCCAAGCGCCTCGAACTATTGATTTCACCACATGTATATGTTCATCACTCTTGTGAAGGCTCATCATAATGCTACAGTAGAGCAGAAAGTTTGATAAGGAAGGAATTAAAAGCATGGCATGGTAGCAACTGCTAGTAAAACAATTTTCTTTCTATGGTCATGAATGTATATTAGACAACTGAAGGGGAAAAGTACTTGTAATTCCCGCTGGTGGTATACAAAACATTCTGAAGAATCACTGCTGTTAGAGAAAAATGAAGCTTTAAAATAACACACAGAATCAGAGGCATATTCTCAATTTGTTTTCCCCAACTATTCAAAATGAATTAGTTTGCTATATTTTCCCATGATTGATTATATACTATCAACTATTTTGTTTTAGTACATTTTTCTGTGAATTTCTCCTTGTCTTGCACTGAAAAAGCAACTTGTGGGTAGGATACCCTCTGCCTAAAGAGCTTATGTGGTAACATGTTAAATTTATTATCTTGTAACAACAAACCATTCATTGTTAGAAGCTCTTATCTGCATTCTAAACAAGGGGGTAAGGTGAATAATGTAATTATAGTAGGCTCTACCCCACAGGGTGTGAAAGAGACATCTTTGTGGGCTTTTGTACTAAAAGACTGATGAGGGAAGACTTATGTAATTGATGTAGATTCGTTGTATTTGTGACTTTAACCCTAGAAAATTCTGTTGGCAGAGACATTACTTTTGTCTTTTGCTTAACACACGTTCCTCTGACGTGGAGCTCAGTTTACAGAGGGAGGGTGTGTGTGTGTGGCGTATGTGAGAGAGAAAGCCGGGAAGGAAGAGAAGACGCATATACACGGAGCTAGTCTGACCAGAAACAGAACTGCCCCTGGCAGATTAAAGAGACAAGTGAGGCTTGGAATCTGAATCCAGGAAAAGGAGAGTGGAAATTTACAGCTGCTCTGAGTGAGTGTGCATGTGTTAGTGATTCTCTCTGTTAACATTTTTTTTCAAAAGGTAACAGTTACTCTTCAGCAAGCAAGTGGAGACTGAATTCTGGAATTTGTTTTCTCTGCCACGTGTCAATAATAAGGAAGAACTTATATTAAATGGAAGATAAGTAAAGAGTCCTCCAACTGGACTGCTGGTTTGGGTCTGGCAGAGAGCTGTCTTCAGCACCTCAACATGTATCTGCTTTTTGTTGTTTAGACAAGCCTGGACATTTCTGTATACAGTGAGTATCAGCTAAGATTACCTAGTCTGAATTAAGTAAAGTTAGGTAAACCAAAAAGGGAAGTTATAATTTATTATCAGTAGCTTTTTGGTAATAAAATCATCACTTCTTGTTGCCTTTTTGTAGCATTGTAAACTAATGTGGTATGGTGTTCATGTGTTTATGTTCAAAGCAGTCCTAAATAGTACAACTTTTGTTACATAAGGCATTGGCTCAAATACTCTGTATCCATGACATATTTGGAAAGGTTTTATTTACAATCGGGGTTCCAAAAATAAAAATAGCACAATATATTATTTTTCTTGCTTCTCTCTTTAATGATGTGCTTGCAGCTGTAGCTTTGCTTGTGAAATTGCAGAGAAATGGTAGCACAGTCACTTGTATAAGAAATTCAGAAGCTATCAAGTATATAATATTTGTGTATATATTCAGATTGCACACATCATTATAAATAAAGAGATGGAGGACAATTTAATAGGTTTCTTCCATCTCTAGCGTCTATGATTCTATGAAGTAATGGTCCAGTCTGATAGTCCTTACTCAGGCAAAATGTTCATTTAAGTTTTTGAGGAGTTGGGCCATTTTTAGTGGTAACATAAACCCATTGCTGTGCCAAATTATTTAATGTGTCATGGAGCCAAAGGAAGTGATATGACTTTTTTAAAGACCTTGCCAAATGAATGGAGGTGATATAGATCACTTTGCAATAATGTCTAATATTATAAAGCAAAGCTGAATATATATTAATGTTTGAACTATTGGACCAAGAGTGGTTTTTTTTCTCTCTTGGCTGCTGTCTCAAGTTTTTTGTTTTTTAATGTAATTTTGGCTTTAGTATCAGTTTCTTTTGCTTCTACAACTATTGCTATTACTCTATATAGAAAGTAGGCTAAAATGCCCCTTCAACATAAGGAAGGAATAATAGCCCTTTAAATAGTGGCTTTAACCTCACAAATTTTAATTAAGGGACCTAATCCTGCATCATTTCAGATGTTGAATTTTGCTATGAACTTCAGTGGGCAGGATTGAGCTTTAACTATTCTTCACAAACATCCCTGTTGCCATGCTATAGGTAGAGAGTCCAAAGAATCCTGAATGTTACCCTTCTGCTGTCATCTGCAAAACCTACTTGCAAATTGTGTGTCTCATCTTCTAGCACAAGTTCCCAAAGAAGATAACACACTACTGTTAGATTAAGTGGCAGGGGTCTGTATGGTGGAGCTAAAGAGTCCAATCCTGCTGCTGATTTGAGCGCGTCAGGAAAGTTCAGTTTATAAACATTTTTTTCCCCTGAAGTTTTATGTGTGGTTTTTTTCAAAAGCCTAGTAAATTAACACAGAAATGACATTAAAAGAATATTGTTTAGGTTGCAAAGTCAAGCATTGAAAAGTTAGGAAGTGCCTGAATTAAGGTGTCTGTGCAAGCTTAATTCACTCCCACTTCCACTTTGTGTTTGCATTATGAGATAAACTTTAATTATATAATGATGTACTTCTCCCCCCTGCCCCCGGACACCTGCCTCATTAAGAGAATGGGCATTGTTCTGTATTTCTTATTTGATCTCATTCCATGTGTGCCCTAGAGCCTGATTTTTTTTTTTTTTTTTAAAAGCAGGTGTGAGGGAACTGAAGGGCCAGCGATCTGGCCTTCAAGGCTCAGGGCTCCCCACCCAGCTTTTGGGAGCCCACACTGATGCTCTAGCCCCCCGCCATCCCACTGTGGGCCTGGAGCACACAATCTACTAGCCTGTCCCCCCAGGCTCTGGTGCGTGAGGGGAATATGGGGAGTATCTTTCTCCTAGTCGGGGGCCACATTAGTGAGGATTTGGTGGTGTTGGGTTTTATTTTTTGTTTTTTTTGTTGGTTTTTTTGCCTGTGTTCTAACTCATTATCACTGACATCTCTGTTCTTTGATAATGTCCCCCTAACCAAAAACGGTTCCCCACCCCCGTTTTAAAAATGGTTCCAGTCAACTTTAGTTGCTGTTGTGAGTACTCCAGCACACCTACATATCTGACCTCAGATTTATTATCGTGAGAACCCAACAAACTGAAACATGCAATCAGCAAGCTAATGTGAAAATTTTGGTTTACGTGGGTCCATCCAACAACATCTAGGAACTCTGTTTCATGGTTAGAACAGTTGTATGATATCCTGAAGAACTAGATTCTATTCCTGCCTCAGCAACAATCAACTTGCCAGTTGTGCAGCAAACGAGGCTATCATCTGGATCCCTGCCTCATTTAGTGCAAAACCCTGATGCATCTGTAGAACACTGTCCATTCTCTGCACTGAGTGAAGTAGTGCTCCAGAGGAAAAATAGCATGTAATCACGTAATTTAAAGAGTATAAATGTAATGCATATACACAAAAGGGCTGAATTAATATTACATGGGCATCCTGAATTCTGATATTTCCTAATGTGCGTGATTGAGTTCATAACCTTAATGTCTTTTTGACATTTTTTGAAGGAGAATGCAATAATACATACATTTCACCATCAGTTTGCAGGCTAATTATCAGCCATGCACATAATCTACACCCCATCAATGGTATTTAACACACTGATGAGCGGGGGGAAATGGAAATATTTTAATCGCCCATTAAAAAAATAACTCACCCCAGGGTGTGTGTAAATTAATAGAATTTTGTGATCCTGATACGCACGTATGAGTGCACACAGAGATGATACTGCATAGCCTAACAGGGCAGGAAAACATACAAAGCTTTTTCTTGCCTGAATTTGTGTAAAATTGTATACAATCAATTCACTTGTAGTACCAAATTGTTTGTCAAATAATATATAAGAAGAATGGTCTGAATGAATCACATTCTTGTGTTTGTGGGAAGGAGGAGGAAGTATTTGTTACTAAACCGCTTAACTGATTTACTGTATAATGATGGGATCTGCTGATGACTGAAGTAATATTACTCATGTGGCACCTTAAAGACCAACACATTTATTTGGACATAAGCTTTTGTGGGCAAACAGCCACTTCATTGGATACATGGAGTGGAAATTACAGAGGCAGGCATAAATATACTAGAACATGAAAAGAAAAGTGTTACCTTATCAAGTGGAGGACCCATGCTGTTACTGAGTGTCCAAGGAGACTGACACGTTCATGTTACCATTCCTAATGTCTGATTTATGTCCAGGACACAAATCACGAAGAGGAAGCTTGCCAGGCATCTCTTCAGTACCACATTCTACAAGCCATTATCCTCTGATCTCACTGAGAAGTACCAAACGAAATTACACCATCTGCTCAAGAAACTCCCTACAAAAGCATGGGAACAAATCTAACAGATTTAGAAGTGGCCATCCTTCAGCGAAAAAACTTCAAAAACAAACTTTGAAGAGAAACTGCAGAGCAGCAGTTCATTTGCAAACTTGACGCTATTAATCTAGCTAGAATAGGGCCTGGGAATGGCCAGCTCATGACACAAGCAATTTTCCTTCTCTTTGTATTCACACCTTCTTCTTAATTGTTAGGATTGGGCCACATTCATCCTGATTGAGTTGGCCCCACTACCACTGGTCCTCCACTTGATAAGGTAATGCCCTTCTTTCATGTGCTTATATTTTTATGCCTGCCTCTGTAATTTCCACTCCATTCATCTGACAAACCGGTTTTTGTCCATGAAAGCTTATGCCCAAATAAATATGTTAGTCTTTAAGGTGCCACAGCACTTCTCATTGTTTTTGCAGATACAGACTATCATGGCTTACTTCTCTGAACCTTGAAGTAATATTGCTGTCTCCCTACCTTCGTTTGCAGTGTTATTGTAATCATGTTGGTCCCAGGATATTAGAGAGACTAGGAGCTTGAGGTGGTATCTTTTATTGGACCAGCTTTGACTTATAAGAGTCAAGATAAAACAGAGCTCTCTTTCAAACCTGTCTCTCCTACCAATAGAAGTTGTACCATTGAAAGATATTACCTCACCTATGTTGTGTCTCCTCTCTTTCTAAGTTCTGATATACTTGGGTCATTTAAGAAGGACCGTGATTAAGAAATAAAGGAGAGCTCAGGGAGAGAGCCTATAATGTATGAAAAGAAATCTGATTAAGTTTATATTTGTATTAAAGAGATCTAGTCAAACTAAACATTTCTGTATGTCACCCTGGTGAACATGAAAGCTTGATGAACAGGTTTTTGTAGTTTATGTACCTCCCCATTCTATTCACAGGGAACTCAGCTGGGTTGAGAGTTTATTTTGGCCCCTAATAATAGTATCTTCAGTCAAGAGCTAAAAAGGGGTGGTGGTCTATCAGTGTTCTTTCTTCACTTCATTTTAGCATTCCCACCTTAGTTGTCTCTAAGCTTCCTATTGAAGCTTTTAGGTTTAGTTATTTGATTGATGTGGGTTGGGTGATTGTTTTTTATTACATGCTGTTTTAGATTAATTGGATTAGCAATGGCACATAATCTATTCTGAGTTGTAGGAACATAAACTCAGATCTGTACAAATAGTCAGATCTTCTCCAACCCCTCTCCCTCCATTTTAAGATTCACATGAAAATCAGTCTGTTAAACTTTATCCAACTGAATTGCTGAGACACAAAATGGATTTTTACCTTCTGCAAACTCCTTTTTGCATGTTTCCAAAATCATCAGAGATCTAGTTCTCTAGCTTTTAGAATCCTGGGGAAGGGGAAAATAGGGGAAGAGGAACTTTTTAGTTCAGGCTATTGTTTCTGTTGGATGGCATTCTATGTTTATACCTAAGTCTTGATTGATATATATTTTCTGATAGGCATGTGGTAGTCTCTAAACCTAGTAGATTTGGTTTTATGGTTAGCACAGATTTGGAAGCCAAGAAAGCTCGGTTTTATTTCTGGCTTTCCCACTAAATTCTTGTGACCTTCAATGAGTCATTTCATCTTTCTGTTCCTCAGTTCCTGCATTGTAAAAGTGGAGTTGGTTGTACTTACATGCCCCTAGGTATGATCCAGGCTTAATGACTGTAAAAGTCTTTGTAATCTCAGGGAAAGCA